TTCCTTAGTATCGGTATCGAGTTGAAAAGTTTAGTATCGTGACAACCCTAGTCCCAATGGAATTACCCATTGGGAACCTACTAGCACTGAGTTGCCAACTGGTTAGCAAGATGCTTCCGAGAAACCGGCCACAATCAAACTTGGTTGCGAACCTTCCGCTACAACAATCCCGCCCCCTTGCTAAACGACCAATCACATTCAATAAATTTACTCATGTAAAGTCTTGCACCACTCGGGAGGATTAAGAAATGCAGCGACTGGAGCAGCCGCTTCCCTACGACTTTAAACAGATTCAGATTTTTGTTCTTTTTTTTTCTGTATCAAAACAACCACTACTTTGCTCTGTATTCAAATATTTTTTTTCCATCAAATTGTCCAGAAAGTCTTTGTCTGAGGCAATGTGAGGATGTGTTTCAGTGGAACTAATGAGGCCAGGTCTGCCCAGTTGGATTAAAAAGAAAAAAATCAAAATGATATTGTTGTCCAATAACTCAGATAATGTAGTAACTTGCATGTGCTGAAATCAGGGGAACTCTTCTGCAAATGGTCTGACTTATTTCAGCAATGGAATTCAGCCCATATACTGAAACGTTGAAATTTCCACTGCTGAAATGGCATATTAAGCAATCAGCTTCTGAATGCTGTTTAGTAAACCGCAAAACAGCTGTAAATAAAACTTCTTTGTCTCCACAGTTAAAATAAAGCAGCAGATATACAAGCATTAATGTAAACATGTCAAATACACACTTGATTTTTTCTGCAAAAGCTTCTAAAGAAATGAAACCAAGAGTATTATCCAGCATATATCCTATAAATACCCTACTTAGGTTGTGACTGTCTGTGAATAAAAGTTCTGTGTGCATCTTTTCCTCTCCCTCAGGACTTTTTGACCCGCTTGGTTTGCAACCTTCTTGAAGAGGGCAATGCCTTCTTCCGAGACGAACAGTGGAGCGAGGCCGTCAAAGAATTCAGCGAAGCCTTAAATGTCTCGAACTATGCTGAAGCAGAAGAGATCCAGATCCCTGAAGCCTTGCTGGAGAGCCTGTATGTCAACCGAGCCGCTGCGTACCACAGTATGGTGAGCGTTTCTGCTGCTTTCTTTAGACGATCATGGCACAGAGCTGTAGATGTCCAAATGTTGACAGTCATCCAGGGTGGAGTTTAAAAGCGAAGGCAGAGGCAAATTTTGCAAAAACACAGATTTATTTCACGTCTGCAGACAGGGAGGAAAAAGCTCTGACTGGGTCAAGCTCCGTACATACATTTATACAACAACTCCCAATACACACACACCCTACAAGGGGAACCAACCCACCCCTGCATACAAAAAACTTCCTCACACACAAACATTTGGAGGAAAACAACTTCAGTTCATCAAGGACAATCCCTGTTAGCTTAATATATCTTTCCCTGGCCAGATAAACATTTCAGAACAGGTGTGTTCTGTTCACGGCATGAGGAAGACTGTGTGAACTCATTCTTTATCTCTCATGACCCACCCGTCACCTTTGTCTAGAGCAGGGGTCGGCAACCCTAACTGCTCAAAGAGCCATATTGGACCAAAAAAAAAAATCTGTCTGGAGCCTCAAAAATGTAAAAGCCTTATATAAGCCTCGTATAGCAACAGGGGCTCTAAGTGTATTATCCCACTATAGAAAATGACTATATGGGCTTAATGTATAATAAGCATTCACGATTAAATGTTTATCCTGAAGCAAATGTCACATAGTAGCCTGAGGTGACGGAGGAACAGTGAACGCTCCTAATGCGCACCGCTTCACCGAGCGCCGCTTCACCACCTTCACCGCGCGGTTTAAGTTTTCTTGCAATGATGAAATTATAGAAACACAATAAAGGAATCTTTCTATGGTGGACGTGTTTCTGTTGGGAGGAGTTTATTGAGTCATCAGGAACCAAGCAGGAATTAACATCAGAGCTGTGCTCTCTAACCCCGAAATCCCACATCCTCC